TTTTTTTTTTTTTTTTTTTTTTTTTTTTTTTTTTTTTTGTTTTTTTTTCTCGTTTTAATTTGATGATTTTTCGTTTATCGATGGAATAACTGAGTGTACGAATAATGGGAAATTTGTTATTCGCGATTTCGAATTTATTACGCATGTACGATTATTAGGATAGGTATTGGATTTTTGAGAGAGAGGGAGATTGTTGGTTCTGATGCAGCTTTTTGCTTTTGTTGTAGATAAGTATCGATCGACCCGAAGATCAGACTATGTTATTTCGAATAACGGATTGATCGCACCCGTCGCTTCATTCACACGTGAGTATGATATGAAAAATAGTTTACGAGCACCCGGTTTAATTGCCTATCTTGTGAGAAAGTATTCGAAGCGCTGTTCGGGGTTTGGAGACATGGAATATTCATTTCGACGGATGTCACGCTCTTTGGTATATATATTTTAAACGAAAGACGAAGGTTTTGATTTCGTTTGTAAACGGGGAACTCTGTTCACTGATGGTACTAATCCACTTGCACTCAACAGTGAACTAAAACTCGATATTCTAGTTGCGACTTTACGATAACCCCCTTTCCGCGCTCACAACACATACTCGTGCTTCTTAGAATTCCAGAAGGATTAAAATACCTTTCTGTTCGGAATAATCACTTACAGACATACCATGCGATCCCGAGAATCCATGTACTGTACTTTCTCTCAAAACTATCACGAAATGCTATTTTATTCGCGGCAGTTGCATCTTCGGAGACATACCATAGAATTCTATCGTAGAAACTCATGCCCCATTCCTTTCCACAATCGTGGAAGTTATTACAAAATGAACTCGAATCAACTATACTATCGCGAACATTCCCCTCACGGATGGTTAATAATTTTCTTGCAATTTCAAGAGAGCACCACCCTTCCCCAGAGGAATCTGCCAAAGCGCTGTAAAAATTACTGAAAACCCGCTCGTGCATTGCTATCGCAGGTCGGACATGAAAAATCTTGGTTCGCGTTGGACGGTCCCCAACATAGCACGCACTGCCGCAGCGCGTTCGTCATTTCTCGTCGCCATTTCGTCGGAACGAGATTCAGGTAGCAGCAGCAGCAGCATCATCATCAACGATAGCAGCAGCAGCAGCAGCAGCAGTATTAGCGTTAAAGGCAGAAGAAGCAACGTTAGAAGTAGCGGTAGTGGAAGCAGTAAGGAAAGTATCAGAGGCGTCACGGCGATCGACAAGAAGAAGAGGGAAACGAAGAGCATCGGTAGATCGGCAGTCGACGTGCTGCACGAGTCGCATTTATCCGTCCGATCGTACGTAACGGCGTCGTCAAATCGGATCGACGGCACGACGCGTTCCGAATCGACGCCCAGGTACCGGCCTCTAGCCGGCAAGTCGCGCGGTTCCCAGCACCGGTCTCGTCCTCGTCAGCCGCAGCCGCAGCCACCGCAGCAGCCACTCTATTACCCCCCCGCATCGTGGGACACGCGCACATTACACTTCAGGAACTGTTAGCACCGATCAAAAGTGAGTATACCATGGGATTGGCTAGAGTCGCAGACATTTCGCGCTAAACCTACTGACTCAGTTTATGGCCACCTACTTCTGAGGGACAGGTCAACTGGCTGGATCATACGTGTATAGGCTGTATCTTTGCAACTGCGCACGGATAATAGCCGATATAGCGCGAATAATAATTTACTGTCATTTTTCTACGACAATGAAACCAATTAATGCTTTTTTTTATTTTGTTTTTTAGACAAGAACGGGATATGGAAAGTAAAGAATAGTCGTGTAACTTTGTAGACTTGGAACGTAATAGCAGGTATTCTTTTTGTTCACTGTATTATTTGGAGATTTTTATTTTTCCACTAACATGCTTCTTGTAGCTAGAACGGATTCTCCGCTGGTTTTATGGTTCTTATAATATTTGGTTTATTTGGTACGTTATGAAAGAAGATGCTTCAATAAGCTTCATATAAGTCTTAGAAGACACAGGATTATAAGAGAGATAAACCTTATGAGAGTCACACCTACCTTATGAGAAGAGTCGTAAAGTTAAGTTTTTTAATTGATAATTTAAAAACGGCCATTTGATTGGCTGTGGAAGGTTTAGTAGCGTTAAGAGTACTGGGGAGTAGTATAGCTAGAGCGAGAGATTTCAGAGGCTCAAGGTTGCTTCTCCCCACCACGAGGTTTGTTCCTTGGGCATATCTAGTGATATTAAAAGGATTTATTTATATGGTAATGTTATAATTTTTGTAATATATTTATTAGGATATGTTATTAGTTCTCAGTGTCTGTTTTATAATCAGATTTAGTTCTTTGGGATTTTATTTCATGTCTCTGAGGAAGAGATGGCAATAAGATGGGGAAAGTGGATTAATGTCTGAGTTACTGAAACCTTTGGCCCTGGCTAGAGAAGTGTGGAGCACTGTAGGGTAAGAGTGGGAGAAATGGGAACGGGACAGCTTGATAGCAGCCAAGAATATTTATGCGTTAATGGTATAGAACATACAGTATACAATAACTGTATGTATAAGTTTATGTATAGGAGAGAACTAGGGGAAATATTTTATTGAAAAAAGAATATAGTGATCCACTCACTCGTGGATCATAATGTGAAATTTATGCTAATAGAAAATTTAAAATTATTTTAAATATTTGGGAAATTAATTGTTTGAAAACATTATTTCTTTTCGTCTTTATTTTGGACTATTTTCTATGAATATACGTATATATATCTTTTTTCAACGAGATTTTTATTATTATTATTGTACAGAAGAGCCGAATGATTAATTGATGTTTTTCCTTACAATCTGATCATCCAAACATGATTTTGAGGACACTGAATGAGCTTGAAAGTTGATTGTTCGATAAAACTCATGCATGGATAATAGGCTTTCTATTTCTACTTACAAACGTTTTCAGGGACTAGATATTCGTCTGTCTATTTAGGGAAAAGTTTGTCCATTTAAAGAACCTACGAATGTCACGTGAATTAATAAATCCTCGAATTACGTTAGAGATCTTTACGATCTTCTGATTATTCCGATAATTGCTATATCTATAAATTAGACTAGGAAAATGTAATTGAAGTAATACATAAAAATTCACGTACCATGGTACATAAGCCACACATTCCTGTTATACGTTTGGAACGAATCATTTTTCATTTGAATACAGGTTTACAAGCTTGTATTTCCGATTTAATCTCTGATTCACAAAAGAATTCATCAGATTCAACTAGTGTCTTCGCGGTTCGTCCCTGTGACTTAAACACGGCTTTATCTTTCGCATTGTTCATAGCTTTTCAATAACACAATGTTTAATAATTAAGTTGGAGCTGATCCTACAGCGGGGCTTCACGTTTCAATACGATGGAACTCGTGTTGGCAGTACTCCAATTTTTAAGTGCAGCAGACAAATCAGGATGTCGCGACGGATCCCTAGTTCGGAAGAAATTAGAATTCTTTGTGGTATATCGATTCCTCAATTTGTCAAGTTCGTCTCCTAGTAACCTACTATTGATAAATGGTGTTTCTTACGATTAAACCGTGATTTAATTCGTGTAATTTCAGAAATTCCGAGTCCCTATCAAACTGGACAGGATACACCAAAGAGGCAAGAATCTAAAGAGGGATGAGAATTTCTTAATGAATAATTCGTAGTTGTTAATAATTTTCGAGGTGAACGAGGATCCATAATTGGAATTTTCTGGGAGAGAGTAAAGGATCAACGATAAATCAAAAGTTTGAAATGCTCGAAGCTATAAAGGACCATACTTACACGTACTTTCTTCCAATTTCTTACGTTTGATACAACCTAACACGAAATTCCACGATATCGTAGCATCGTGAAGTTTATTACTAAGTGGTCTGAGACATAGACTTGGGAAAGAGGGTCTCGAAGTGTGCCATCCCATTATAGAAATAAGTTCAGCCTACAATTTCCTTAGACCCAAGTATAACCTTAGTTTTACGGATATCCATCTACTTTAAAGGAAATACCTTCGAACGCTTTTCACTATTGGTTTTTCCATTTCCTTTCTAATCCGTTATTATCAATTCATAGAGGTAGTCCTCTCGATACATTTTGTGATCAGCAGAAAGCAATGAAAATAATTCTATCAGCTACCTGTTCTCATTTTTATTGACCTTGCAAGTGATCAGTCCATTATAGATGAAGTAGGCAACATATAGATAAATAAGAAACAAGAAACAGACTTACTATAGAGATAAATATTGAAAAATTAACTATAAGTATATATATAAGGAAGGCTACAAGATCAAGCAACGAAAGGGATAATGTTAAATGAAAAGTTACTTATTGAATGTTAAAAATCGGTTACCTAAACCACAACAATCTTACAATTAGTATTAACCCTTACGTGGATAAACTGACACCCATTTATTGCTTCAAGCTTTTATGTACTATAAAAAATATCACAATGTCATAAAATATATTCATTTTCCAAAGAAATGTATATTTAACATCTTACAATGGTATAGTATATTGTTTCTGCTAAATATCTGCTATACTAAAAATGAAAAAAATGTTTAGATATTTAGATATTCTAGTTATCATAGTTATCTACGTAAGGATTAAGCAATAAGGAACATGGTTGGATGTTGATGAAATTAAAAGAGCAACAATTGTCCTGTCCAGGAAGGTGGCTCAGCTGTGTGCAGCTTAGACAATGTCCGAAGATTCTGACTCTGTATCAGAGGAAGAAAGAAGTTTGTTCCGTCCGTTCACGCGGGAGTCCCTGGCAGCGATCGAGGCTCGCATCGCCGAGGAACATGCCAAGCAGAAGGAGCTCGAGAAGAAGAGAGCGGAAGGCGAGGTAAGAACATGGCCGTGCTCCTTCAGCCTACCTAACGTACACGTAGAGCCGCGAGCATCGATTCGAAAGGACCGTGGCTTCGTTTCGTTTCTTTTTCTTTTCATTTTCAACCTTTCTACATTTTCAAATTACGAAACGAAGCCTTGATTTTCCGTTTTATTTCCGAGTTTTCACGGTTTAGTCGACGAATCCGCACGATACACACGAGCGTTCTTCTTTTTCAGACTTCTTATTTAGAGAAATTCTCGCTAAGGGATATTTTTCTCAGTGTGATTCACTCGAAACAGCAAGTTGCGATGGAATATCCGATGCCGTGGAGGATTTCGTGGAATTCTCGTGCCGCAGCGACTTATGGCTAATTTCCACGCTCGCGGAAGAATTTGCACGGTTTAGAGGGACTGCTTATCTGTGATTAACGCTCGTGAATCGTTCTCGTCGATTATTCGCGCACTCGATCTTTAGCATCCAATCTCCCATGAAACCACATGTCCTTTTTACGTGTCACCCGCGTACTACATGGCCAAGAATAGATGACCATTGACACTGTAACGCGAACGAAAATCTCTGGCCCACGATATCCGTGGGATCGTTAAGAAACCGATGTAAAACGATCGCGTTTCCAGTTAGACGAGTTCCAAGAAGACACTCTACAATCGTTCTACGTAACGTGCTTATTAACATCGATACACAGGTTGTTCTACTTTGCAGATCTCTATAGCGAGACCTCGAATGTACAAGCATCGCTATTAAGTGCGTTACCAATGGTTTTTTTCACCAGTAATCACGTTTTTCTGCTTAAGGGCCGATTTGATATTTCTTCATAGAAGATTCGTCCAATTTTACTTTCGTCCAATTCGATATCGAAATGCTAATAATAACGCGAAATATCGCGAGATGTAATTTTCGTAGCTTCGATCGTGTACACTTTTCGATGACGAAATATCAATGGATCTTAAGTATAGTAATGAATCACGGTGTTGTCCGTGACGCTCGATGAACGTTTACAGTTACTGTTCGTATTTTTTATCCTTTTTTTATATATTTTTTTTTGGTCGTACCTTTATTTTGCGTAGCTGCAGTGCCGTAATTTGCGAGATCTGTTTCTTCATGTTCACAACACCATATCTATCTATTTATCTACATATATATATATATAATTATACGTCAAGCTGCGGTGTTCTACCTACCCTCTTGTAAACAACCGATTGTCGCTACCAGTCGCGTTGATTGTTTGCTTGATTTACTGCTGAACGTAGTGAAAATACATGCCTATCCTATCGACGACTTTTGTCTACATCTGTCTATATATACATATATATATATATATGTATATACACACACACACATGTATATACATATATATATATAACATGACTGTCGTCGAGTAATGTATTGTTTCTGTGTTACCAAAGATATGTTCGCGTACGAGCTCGATGTCTGCAGTGTCACTATCTGTGCCTGTTTCTATACGTACATAAATATCGCTGTGTCGTAGTTCTCTCTCTCCCTCTGTGCTCTTCGTTGTATTGTAGATTTTCCCTTAACCGTATACTTACGTAGTCACCGTGTATAGTTAGTATTAATTGTGCTGGGCTTTCACTGGTAAGTTCATTATGGAAGGATCTTTTCATCAATGTACT